TTCGAACTGTGGAGGTGCCGAGTTGGGATCTGAAAGGAGCGACCAACTTTTTGATCGCGATTTCCCTTGAGGAAGAAATTTACCGCACGTTGCTTCGGGAGCACAAGCCGAGACGATGGTAGCAAGTCGTTGACTTGCGATCAACAGGGACACTTGTGATCATACCAGGCGAGATGTTTGGCCATGCTGTCTGATGACCTTTTGTGGTTACCGGATAGGTGACTGTCGAATGTGATACCAGCATAAGGTATATGTAACCCCTATAAAACAGCTAAAAATTTGGTTCTCTTTGCATCACCATATCTATGCACCGTTTGAAGTAAAAGTAAGATCTTCCGCTGACCGCATCGAGTGGTCAGCTGTAATATGAATGATGGAAATATAAAGCTTTGATTGTATCGAAGTGTTATGGTAACTGTTAAATGGCGGAAGAGTGTTTGAACGGGATGACTCTACACTCCTTCCGCAATTGTTGTGCTGTTCACTGTACATTGAAAACCGTCTTCAGGTGTTTTTCTTACTCTCCTCGAATTCTGTGCTGCTGAACTCTGCAAATTGCACGAAACAAGTCGATATTGCAAGTAGCTGAAAAGTTACGAGCAGTCAATCATTTCTTGTGGAGATCATGGAACAATGGACATTCAACCTACAGGTGCTCATGCACCAAACGCCTGTATGAAAATCAGCGTTTCCATTTCTTTGTTGAAATCAACCCTGAGCACTGTAAAGATTGAATGATCGTCCGGTACGTTTCAGTTTGTGATGGTGTTTGTCCGTTGGCTTGTTTCAGCAGCATGGTGCTGGCTAAAGCAATAACTTTAGCGTTGGTCTAAGAAACAGCGTCTCCTTGAATGTAAATATCCCTTGATATTTCCTATCCACGTTAATTCCTACTTTTGGATGGCATCTTGTTTTGGTTCCCATATTCAACTATTAAGTTGTGTATGAATTTATAGTCCACGTTTGTTATCGGTATCAAGTGACTCTGTCTGAATCTGCAGCTTGTATGCATGACCACGTAGGATACTCTACAATTTAATAGGCTACTCAGTGGGGATGATGAACCCTAACTAGTTGTATACAGTTGGATGCCACGTGCAGTCGGTTGTGAAATTGTGACACGTCCCTCAACTCACCGTTCTCTGTCTTTTCTTTGACAGGTAATCGGCAGTCGCGACATCGATTCGCCTGTTGCCTCACGCCGACGGTTCGCTGCAACCCGCGGTTGTTGGGCCAACGTCTGAGGTAAAAACAGGCAATTGCTAGCATGGCTGATCATTCGAAAAACAGTGATGACGCTGGTCCTCGTCCTCCATACATTGTCATTTGTCGAGGAATCGATCGGTTAGATACGAATCGAAGCGT